ACGCCTCCACGGGGACTGAGCCCACCCCCCAGGCAAGTGCCCCGACCAGAAATCAAACCGGTGACCTCTTGGTTCATGGATCGACACTCAACCGCTGAGCCACACAGGCAGAGCAACATGGTCGATTTTTAAATAATTCCTCTTCCTGTGGTCCCCTTAGCCTGTAACAATACAATTTGCTAGAAGACAAAATAATTGCCTATAATTAATTTAATCACAGCAACCGCCCCCCCCCCCCAGGTTCTCAGAACAAGGACAAAACCCACTGAGCCCTCTTGCTATATTCACACACACCACACACACGTGTGCATCCAGCACACAGTTCCTCACATTGTCCTTGCCCCTTAGGTTTCGTAGCCGGCACCATCACAGGCTGGAGAAACTCACGTACCCGGCTGTAGGCCACGCGCCAGCCTCTGGGCAAACCCACAAACGTGCAGGACACAGTGGAATCGACCCAGTGAGCGTCTTGTTGGAAAAGGGCACAAACCCAACCAGGAGATCAATTTCTCCCACTTGACTCAGCAAGTCAGGAGCGCGAGCCCGCGGCCTTCGTGGCGGAGACAGGAGAGAGCCAGTGCCTGTCGCCACACGGCCGGGTCAGGGCCGGCCGAGGCTCACCTGGTCCCGGGGCGTTTCCTTCGCCGCCAGCCGAGTCCAGCTGGGAAGAGAGATGAGTGGGGAGCAGATGGACAGGTGCAGTGTGTCCGTGAACTGAAAGCTGCCAGAGATGGCTGTGCATCGGGGTCCAGCTCTGAACCCCGAGAAAGGAGAGTGCTCCTGGCCTCGGCAAGGGGGAGGGGGCTGCCCGCAAACGCAGTGATGTTGTGCTTGTGATAGAGATCGGGGCAATTAACGGCTATCGGTTTCAGAAGTGAGCCTCAACCTGCGTTTTATGAGGGCAGGCTCCCCGCTGTGAGGGGACTGTGATGTCAGCGGAAGGAGAGGAGTCCGCAGCTGCGGCCGGCACGGAGGTAGCGGCAGCTGTTAAAACAGAGAACCGGTGGTGATTAATTCTGATTATGTGTTTGAAGATTCCACCAAGAGTTCAAGACCCAGCCCTTCCCACGGGGGACGCAGCGAAGGAGGGGAATTCCTGGGGAAAGAGAGGCCGAGGGGAGCCCCCTGAGCCCCGTCATCTCGCTGTTGAGGTTTTCATTGGATTCAGTGTGTCCACCGGCCCAGACGCCCCAGGGGAACGCGCTGTCCGCACTGAAACTCGGCCTGAGGGTGAGTGAGGGCTCCGCCTCCCATTGCGGCCGACGCCTGGCGTCCCGCACGCCCCCCGTTTGGGAAACGCTGCCATCAGTCCCAGGCCACGTGATGTCTCCGGCTGGGCTCACCGGGGAGCCGAGCACCTTGACCCACTTCCTGGCGTGTGGAAACCAAGATCTCTAACACCCCTTAGGAAAGTCTCTAACATTTCTTTAAACTTTTATTTCCAGCCCTGAGTCTACCTGTGGTAAGACATTCCTCCGTTCCTGAGGTCTCACGTAGCTTGGATTTCTATAAAAGGCGGTCTGTTCCTTCGCCGCTTTGAATACAAAGTTGGGTAGTATGTTCTGAAGGGGGGATTAAAAAAAATAAAAGCTATGATGCCACGATATAAGGAAAGTGTGTAAATATAGCTAAAGTAGTGTTTCAAGTAACAGGATAATCTTACCCTAAAAACAGTCAAAATAAGAGGGGGAAAAAATCTTACACGCTTTTATGCAAAATATCTCTGGTCAAGCCTTTTTTCTTAAAGGTACAAATTAAAATTCAGAAATAAGTAGCCCGGAAGTCCATGCTGGGTCTCCTCCTAGGTGAGCAGGTAACTTGCGAGAAGGCACGGGGAAAGTCAACCTCTCTTAGAGATATTTTTCAGAGAAGAAGGAAGAGGGGGAGAGAGAGAGAAACAATGATGAGAAGAATCCTGGATGGGCGGCCCCCTACATGCCCCCTACTGGGGATGGAGCAACCTGGGCACCGCCCCAGACAGGAATGGAACCTCGACCTCCCCTCCCGGTTCATAGGTCAATGCTTAACCGCTGGGTGGCGCCGGCCGAGCCAAAGTCATTATGTTTGAATGTGTAGGCTGAGCCACTACATTCAGAGGAGACACCGGCCGCGGCTCAGATTGCGGGAGGCAGGGAGCAGGTGGGGGCGCTTCTCAGACTCGCCTTGAAGCCGTGAGCACCGGGTACCCCGCATGGCATCTGCTGGCTCACGGGGTGGAGCGCGTCCATTTCTGGGCCTGCGCGCGGGGCCCGGGGAGCCTGCATTCCTCCGCACGGGTCAGGCCGCGGGCAGGCTGCGTGGAAATGAGGCGGAACGATGACGGCATCGCTGAGCTCGGCCTCCTGGCACGGACAGGAGTCCCCGGCTTCGGCTGGAAACAAAGGGCCCCTTGTGCCCGGCTTCGATCTCGGGAGATCAGGTTGCTGGGTCCTCACTCCCCCTTTTCTCTAAAAAAAAAAAAAAAAAAAAAAAAAGTAGGCAGAGCAGAATGAGAGCTGAAGCCAGAAGCAAGGTTTGAAGGCCCCTGACAATAGCTCCCTCTGCAGGGCGGGAGCGGCGGTGGGGTTCATTTCAGGAGGCTGATCCCTAGCCCGTGTGAGGCCCCGGGGACCCCAGGCTCCCAGCTCCGTCCTGCGGGAACGTTGGGTGCTCACCTCGTGTCCTTGCGGCTTCCCTGGGCCTGGACAACGTGATTATTACCACGTGTGTGCTTTCAGGTTTTTTTTATTTTTATTTTATTTTATTTTTGTATTTCCTTTTTTTTCCTTCTTTGTATTTTATATTTTCTTTTAGGTTTTGTGTTTTTTTAATGCACAGGCGCGTTGGAGCAGGGACCCTGTCCCACTCGCCCTTCTGTTCGATCTCCATCCATCCGTCATCAGGGTCTGAGGACGATCCGACGATGGATGGGACCCGGGTCGGAGCAGCGCTCACCCCAGAGCAGGGAGGGGGTGTGCCCTTCACTGGGAGGTGCAGCTTGGCCGAGCTCATGGAGGGAACAGCAGTCTGAGCAGCCTTGGCCTGCCGTCTCACTTGCCGGGCCTTGGTCTTGGGGGCGGTGTGGACTTTGATGAAGGGACACCCAGGCAGGCTTCCTCCTGAAGGACACCTTCCCGCTGGGGGGGGGGGTGGGGTGGGGGCAGCGGGCTGCAGACCCGCTCTGGTCCGGGGCGCACGCTGCCTCACACGTGCACGCCAGCCCCGCGCCCCGCGAGCCGGCGCAGCTGAGGTTTCCGTTCAGCCGGTGTCGGCCCGGAGAGGAGCGGCCACAGCTGCTGTGCTCCGCAAACTCTAACAGCCCCAGGTAGGGGGTCCTGGAGGGGCGCCAGGAGCCGCCTGAGAGGTCAGAGGAGGGGGAGGCGGGGGCGGGAGGGGGGTGCGGAAGGAGGCGGTAATGGGATGGCAGGATGCCCGGGATTCATGGGGCATAAAGCCGGGAGGCGGGCGGGCGGGGGGCGGTGGGGGTTGTGGGAGGCGGGAGGAGCCGGAGGAGCCGGATGTGTGAGGGAGAGTGGCCCAGAAAGGCAGGTCAGACGGAAGACATTCGGCTCTCAGACACGCTTTCCGACCCGGCTTTAAAGTGTCAACAAAAATGTGGCAGCGCGTCTTAAATAATAGATCGCAGGATGCGGGTCGGGCCGAGGAGAAGTGCGTCTTGCTTTGCACAAAGGCAAGCGTGCCCGTGGTTTCCACGTCTGGCCTGTGAAAACCCACACGTGAGGGCCTGGCTCCGCGGACCAGGCTCCGTCTGGGTTCCAGCCAAAGCGCGCCCGTGCCTGCCTGCCGATGGCGTCTGATGTGTCTGCTGGCCTGGCCTCTGCGTCAGCGAAAACCAACCTTCCTCCTCACAGACGGACACGGTGGGTCCCCAGCCTTAGTTCAGGGGACCGGCCCGGGACCGTCCGAAGGCCCCTGCCCTGTTCCCTTCATTCCTGCTCACGCTCCGCTCACCTCCTTCTACAAACCACACGCCCCGCTGTCTCCCATGGTTATCCTGCCTGTCCCCCTCCCACCCCCCTCCACGAGCGAGAGAGTGAGCATGACCAGGGCCGGAGTCACTGACGGTCTCGTCCATGGAGGGATCCCAGCACCCAGGAGGGCGCCTCGCCAACGGGGGACACTCCCTAAATGCAACGGGAAAGCCCAAGGGGTGAGTGGGGAGTGAGCCACCCGTGCCCTCCTCCCGGCACCGCTTTCGTCCCCGAGAAACACAGAACATGTGAGCTCCAGAGGGTTCAGAGGTGGGTTTATCCACCCGGAAGCATCACGCGGCCACTTGAGGAGACCCGAGCGGGTCAAGTACACGGCATGTGACCAGCCAGGACCTGTGCGGACGGAGGAGTTAGCGGGCAAACTCCACAAAGCGCGGGGTTATTTTTAGCCGGGCGGTGGGGAGCGCGGGGCCGAGGAGGGGCGGCAGGAAGGAGTGGGGGCAAGGGCTGTTTGACTCAAAAGGAGATTGGTCCTGATTTTTACCATCTGGGAGCTAACCCAAATCCCTAGGAAAACAAGGATCCCTCTGGCCAAGGTAAAATTAAGGAGACACAACAATCTATACTCATTAACGGCCCCATAAAGCACCGGGAAGCCCCGGGCTGCCTCCTGCCCCGGTTCCCCGGCTCCTGCGGGCACCTGTCTCGGGCAGGCGCGCACTAAATATATTCACATTGTTTATGAACGCGCCTGATTGCACTTAAACAATTGATGGAGGTTAATCCCCGTTGGTTTGTATAAGAAATGGCTGTTCGGAGCCTGAACGCATATCTGAGTGATGACAAATTGGATTTGCCGAGTTGGAGAGAGAGCCTGTGGGGATGGGAGCAGACGAAAAAGGCGGTTGGGACCTGGGAGCAGGGAAGTGACTGAAAGCCGCTTGGGAAGCAGTGTGTTCAGGGAGCTGCCAGGAGACTCTCCACCCCCCCAACCCCCCCCCCACCCCCCCACCGATGGAGGAAGGGGGCATCCCCTCCCTTTGGCACGGAGTCCAGATGCTGGGCACACTCCCTCCCCCTTTGGGCCACGCCTCCCAACGTTCCCACCTACGCTTCTGTCTTTTCTTGTCCTAGACCTTGGGGTTGTGCGCTCCCAACTCACTACAGGCTGGGCCTTTGGTTCTGCCACTGGGTGCCCGTCGGACCCCTGTACTCAAGCAGGCTGGGCCGTGAGAGCGCCCATAGATCACCGCTGTCTTCAGCAACGGGAAAGTGGGCACATAGAGAGGGGACGGTTCTTAGCCTTCAGGCGGTCCCCAAACCCCTTGATTTAGAGGTGAGAATAAAGTCAGAGAAAGAGAGAGAGAGAGAGAGAGAGAGAGAGAGAGAGAGAGAGAAAGAACGTGCTCCCTGCACGCCCTGACGTGTGGCCGATGGAGACGAGACCCAGGCCTGGTTCCCCAACCACCACCTGCTGCCTCTTTCCTTCAGTGAGGACCGGGCCGCTCTGGCCCAGCCCAGGTCCTCACGGCGCCCGGAGAACCAGTTCCCATCCATCACTTATTTTTAGCCACCTTGGAAAGTTTCCAGTTGCCAAAGGCGGAGAGGTGACCTGCTATTTTTTTTTTACTTTTATAGAACATTCTGAGAAAAGAAAACAGCAGCACATTCCATGTACCCATAGGTGGTCCCTAAGAACAATACAACTTTTCATACATTTCCATGATCTAATAGTTGATATATACCTCAAGATATCTATATGCATGCATGTCTATACATCAACATATCTACACACACGCATAAACATACATCATGTGTGTGGATGGTACAGAAAAGACTTGGGAATCACGGATGAGACCCTCTGCCTACCCAGGCTGGGCGAGTATTCCACCTGCTTGAACATCTGCATACACCTTATAAAACCAGGGGTTGGACATGTGTCATAGGGTTGAGCAAGGAGATGATTAAATGATAGAGCTGATGTCACGGTAATAATGGAATGATGGACGCACGGGTCACCTCAGCGGCCCCACTGGCCTTCCTTGCTTCCTGCCTGTAGGAGGAGGGAGGGCCAGTGTTCCTCCCTGACCACTGGTCCCACAGATCAAGGGGCGAGGATTTAACAACAGTGCTCAGAGCGCTGGGTGCTGGGGGACCTTCGGGGGCCCGGGCATTGTCTCCGTTTCTGCAGACAGCTCTGAGTTTGGTTAAGGGGACGGCAGCCTGGTTGTGACTCGGTACCACTGAGAGCCGTCTCCAGCCCTGCCCAGCCCCGAAGGCTACTTGACCTTCACAATGGAGCTCAAAGTCAACTCATGTTTGGAGAGCACGAGGGTTCCTTCCCCAGGTCAGGTACCACGCCCGGGCTTCTGTGGCTTCTACTTGCATCGTCATTTACTTTGTTTTGTTTTGTTTTGTTGGGGGGGAGGGGGGATTGAATGTATGATGTTATTTTTGTTTATTTTTTATTGTTGACAGTATTACAGATGTCTCCCATTTTTGCCCCCCTATAGCCCCCTCCTCCCAGCCCCTACCCAGCCCCCAGGTCTTCACTCCCCTGTTGCCCATGCCCGTGGCTCTGCATGGAGGTACATAAGCTCTTTGGTTCCTCTCTTCTTAGCATGCACTTCGCTTGTGAAGAAGCAGAGAAGCAGGCACGATGGGAAACTCGCCCACGCCCGCGGCCGACGCAGCGCTGATTGTAGATGCTCCCTGACTGCAGAGCTCGGTGAGTGTTTGCTGACGACTGAATGAAGGACTGCGCCTTGAACCCGAGCTCCCGTCCAGGCAGACGCTGACACCACAGGGGCCGAGTGAAGGGAAGGGTGGCTCTGTCCTATACGGGTAAAGAAGGCAGGGCAGGGCAGGACTGGTCACCCAGACCGTGGCTCCCTGGCCACTGCTCAGGGACAGCTCGGCCGCTTAGGCCAGTGGTCGGCAAACTGCGATCCACGAGCCACATGCGGCTCTTTGGCCCCTTGAGTGTGGCTCTTCCACAAAATACTGACTTCTGCACATGGGCCACAAAGTTTTAATCACACTGTACGTGCGCGCCCGCACGTGGTATTTTGTGGTATTTTGTGGAAGAGCCACACTCAAGAAGCCAAAGAGCCGCATGTGGCTCATGAGCCGCGGTTTGCCAACCGCGGGCTTAGGTGATGGGCCCTTTGGCAATGGGGACACGGTGCTGCACACCTGGGTTGTCTTCCACTGGTGGCTCCAAGCGCCACTGTGTGCGGGATGGGGGTGTCATTGGCATGTGCGGAGATGGGGCTTCCCCGGCTCCCCTCTCTGCTCTATGGGCCGGGCGCACGGAGGCTGAAGGGGAGGATGGTGCGTGGGGCTGATTTGGGGGCTGGGGGAGAGGGGACCAGAGGCAGGAATCCCGGGCTCCCGTTGGGGGCTCTTTGGTTGTCTGATATGCAAAAACGAAAGGAGACAGAGGACAGAAGAGGGTGCTGGGTTCCAGCCGGAGGGGCTTGGAGAAACAGCGTGTCTCCTGCCGACCGGGGGCCGGGGGCGAGGACCTCAGACACGCTGCTCGATGTCTTTGTCATTTCCATGCGCCTCCAAGGACAACCCTGGGCCGCGAGGGGGAACGCCGGCCGGCTCTGCAGCGGGTCCACGCTCCGCCTCCCTCTCCCGTGGCCGGGAGGGCGTCCGTGTGGCCCTGCACTGCCCTCACTTTAGAAGGCATTTCTTGGTCAAATGATGAGTTTCCCCCAAACACTGAAATGAAGCCTCCATACAAGAAATTGTGCGTAGACATCCCTTGAAAATAAAGCTTGAAATCCGATGACTTTAATTCTACTTTTTCTCCTTTGATTTTACAGGAAGGGCAGTGTTTGGGATCATGCCCACACGGGACCTAAACGCCAGACAAAAGCCCCTCTGCGGAGGAGCATGATGGGAGGAGCTCTTGCTGCTCACGGGCTGGGCCTCCTGGACTTCCTGGGGCTGCGCCGCAGGGTGCGCCAGGGCCCTTCATCAGGGTCGGCATCTCCAGGGCGGCACCCACCCGCAATGGTGCGGGGAGCAGGGACAGGAGGACGCTGGGGGCCGGGGGCAGAGGCTGAGGAGGCTCAGGAGACAGAGCTGCCAGGGCTGACCGGAGCCCGCCCGCCCGCCCGCCCGCACACCTCTGGTTTGCATCAGTCTCAGAATCAAAGCCGCCGGGAGCTGCGGTGGAGCGGCAGGCAGGCAGGCGCGCATTCCGGGGCCTGGCCGACACTCCCCAGATGGCTCCCGCTCCAGCGCGCTCTTGGGTGACTTTTCCCAAAACGAAATCCTCTTGTCGGGCTGCCTCGCCTGGGTTTTGTTATTGTTCATACCCTCCTTGCAAAGGAAGTGTGAGGCAGCTAAAAGCATTCCTTTGGAGATGCTATCTGATCAGCTGGGATTTCCAGATACCCCGGGGCCAGGAGGGTGTGTGTGTGCATGTGCGTGTGCATGTGTGTGTGTGAGCATGCACACTCCTGCAAGGAGCCTGCCCTCTCCCTCCGCGGCGAGGGGCTGTCGGGCAGAGAGAAACGTGTCCGTGTGGCCATGTGGCGTTTTATGGGCCGGGTCCCGCGTGCCTGACAGCCTTGCATTTTTAATGGTGTTGATGTTCCGTGGACTTGATGGGTGACACTCTCCCGATTCGCAGAGCATTTCATAACATTTATTAAAAAGGGACAAAGTTTATTTGACAATCAGTGACAAACGGGAACACGGACATGGACATTGGCACAGCGGCCCTACCCCGTCCGTTTCTCGCACACACACACGGCATATTATTCCCGCTCGGTAAGTAACGGGGAGACAAACATGGAAGTCCTGTACCGCGCGATCGCCTGAGGAGCAGCAGATGCTCGAGGGCCGGCGTTCTGCGCGGAGCCCTGTCTGCTGCCGCGTACGGCCGGCAGGGCATTCGCCGGAGAGGCCCACAAACGGCCAGCGAGAGGGAGGAGCGAGCACGCAGCTCCTGTCCTGTCCTGTCCGCCCGCGCAGGCAGGTCATGGCGCTGATGCCAAACAGCGGAGCTGCCCTTCGGAAGGGAAGCCGCAGACCTCGCCAGACGACGCCGGCATCAGCAGCAAAGGGGACGCACCCACGCACCCCCAGCACCAGCGCACACGGGTGCAGAACAGACTTCACACAGCCGTTTTAATAAAGAAATCCTGTGTTCCCATCGCGTGTTGTGTCATATCTTGAACATTATTAAAAGTGAGTGGAACCCTAGCCGGTTTGGCTCAGTGGATAGAGTGTCCGCCTGCAGACCAAAGTGTCCCGGGTTCGATTATAGTCAAGGGCACGAACCTTAGTTGCAGGCTTCTCCCCGGCCTGGGCCCTGGCCGGGATGCGTGCAGGAGGCAACCCATGGATGTTTCTTTCCCTCTCTCTTCCACTCTCCCTAAAATCCAATGGAAAAATATCCTTGGGTGAGGATTAACAAAAAAGGTGAGTAGAGATACATCCCCAAGCAGAGCAAGGCTGGACCAGCCCTGGAGGAAATGGCTCCTCCAGGCTCAGCCCACGCACAGACCCTTGGTGGGAAGCAGACCCGGGGCAGGGGACCCGCAAGGCCCAGTTGAGTTTGCATCGAAAGCCACACGGCCCCAGGAGTCGCTCATGGCCCACGCAGACGCTCAGGGACGGGTGGACGCGGCCCCGGGGCCGGCCCAGTGGTGAAGTCCTTCTGGAAGGTTGGAGCCCTTTCTGTGAGGTCAGTACTTGCGTGGATATGCCCAGCCTCCCGCCAATGCCTTCTCCCTCCCACCAATGCCTTCTCCCTCCTGCCAATGCCTTCTCCCTCCCGTTAATGCCTTCTCCCTCCCACCAATGCCTTCTCCCTCCTGCCTATGAGGCATTCATGCTGCAGGGGCTGGAGAGGAAGGTCCCACCCACACATATGAGACATCCCTTCCTGGCCCCTTCCCAGCGGCAGCCCCGCGCCAGGTGTGAGCTCCGGGCCGGCTTTGTTGGGAAGGAGGGTTAGGATGAGTTCTGTCCATTTCTCGGGGGAAAAGGAGTAGAGATGAGATGATGTAGGACCTGGTTATCTGAGCTCAAAACTGCTCAAGCTCCAGTGGCTTCTGTGCTGGAGGCACCAGGTGAGAACCAGACTCAGAGGCCCCTGCACCTTCCGGGCCAGCCCACGACCCCTCTGCTAGCTCGGCCCCGTCTCCTGCATCTGGGAGGGGCCCGTGGAACCAGACCGCAGCAGGGCCTCAAGGCTTTGAGGGGAGGACTCAAGGGGGGCCTCCTGGGGCACCCCAGATGCTTTGAGCAGAATAGAAAGAAATCAGCATCAAACGCCATTTTCGCTCCGGGAAAGGGAAGGAAGTGATCCCGCTGAAAATCACAGGGAAAGGCTACCTGGGAACGAGGTTGGCTCTGGGTGCGTTTCACCTGTGGAAGGGCCTTGCCCCCCCCCCCCCCCGCCGTGGTCCTGTGAGTGAGGGGTGTGGCAGTCGTGGTTTCGAGTGACAATCCAAGACATCACGGCCATTGTGACCCACACACCAGCCAGGCCCAGCCAGGTCCCGTCAACCTGTCCTGAACGCTCGTGACGTGTGTAGGACCCTCAACAATGTTGCCGTTTTGACCACTGGATGACGGAAAAATACAAATACTGTCAGGGTCCTCGCTGCTGCCTGGTTCTCAGAGCCCATGATGGAGAGAACACGGGGAAATGCCTGAGCAGGGTCCTCTCACTCTGACCCCCGCCTTGAATGGGGCCCCCTTCCTGGGGGGAAGCCCAAACCGGGACCACAGGCTCGTCCGTAGTCCTCGCAGGCGACACGCTCCTCCAGGGGACACAGGCGTGTTCAGTGCCAGCTCCGTCCCACCATGGAGACGCCTGCTCAGCCCGAGAGCCGTAGAAAACATCTCTTCCCACACGGCCCACTGATCTCTGCCATTCAACCCAGAGCCGCCATTGGGGTTTGGCTCAGAGAATCCGAGGACAGAGCGCGCGCAGCCAGAACTCGGGGCGATCGCCACATGTTTTATTCCGAGTGTCATTGAGCATCCGCCTTCCTGGCTGAGAGCTGATTGGCTGGGCTTTATTTCAGCCCAGAGTGATGTTGTAAATGACTAATTTATAAAATCTTTGAAAGTAAGGGTTTCTAATGGAAGTGCTTACACGGCCATAACTCTGGCGTGGCAAATGGCACCACTGCCGTTAAGGGTGTGTTGTTGTTTGTTTTATGCTAATCTCCCTTCAGTGTGACAGCCTGTCACCTGCGCGGGGGGTACCGTTCAGCGCGATATTAGCCCATATGGCACGAGCTACATTGTATCGAAGCTATGGGCTAATTACGGATGAGTTAATAAAGCCAGGCAGAGCGGGCCTGGGAGCACCCCCCTCCTCTCCCCAAAGTGAGCGCGCCCCACTTCATTTGAGCTTTGCAGTTCTTCAGTGTGGTTTCTGAGACAAAACGCACAGCAGCTCTGCGCTCGATACACTGTGCGTCTCCCCCTAGTCCCACGCCGCGGACGTCAGACCCGGAAACGCTGGCCAGCCTTGGCACTTTTTCTAGTCACTGATTCTCTTTGGGGCAGCTGAGAGTTCGGCACAAAGGGGGGATATGCAAATGGGGGGCGGCTGCATGTGTTCTGAAGTCACGTGGGTTTTGATAGAGAAAAACGCATCTCCCACACGGAGGCTCCGGGTACGTCCTCTAAGCTGGGAGCGTTGGCGCCGTGCACACCCGTTCACGAGTGGCAAGCCCAACCTGACTGTGGTAGCACGTCCGTCAGGTTTTCAGAGAAGCTGCAAGCCTTTCATTTGGATGGAATTAACCAGCTGGTGTGAAGGCATTTCCCTGCGAACCTGTTCAGGTTTTCTGGCAAGTTCCTCTCTAGCTCTTCATCCAAGAACCGGCAGGCCATCCCTTCCCCTGTGGGTGGCCACATGTCCCCGCCCCTTCTCCCAGCTCCGCCTCTGTCGCCGGCCAGGGGAGCGGACTGCCTCCAGCGGAGGGGACGCCCCACAGGCCGGTCCTTGGAGACGCCCATCCATGCTGCTCTGTTAACCAACCGGCCCCTGGAACGCGGGACCCATTTGGCTTCTGCCTCCCGAAGCCAGCCCAGGCTGCGCCCGCGATGCCAGCCTGGGGAGTCGCTTTCCTGGGTGACACCCTCAGCTGCTCCCAGGGTGGTCCTTGGATGTCTCCATTAACTGGGACAGCGACTCGCAGCACATGACAATCTGCCACTTCAGTCATATTTGCAATAACGGGCTCTGCCTCCCCTGGAAAAGTTCAGACCGGGGGACGCGGAGCCGGTGGGCCTCCCGCTGCCTCTCAACACCTGAAGTGAATTGTTGACGAGCCCGCGAAGCCTCTCTCTGATGTTTTTAATACAACACAACCTTCCTTTCCGCTCTCCTTCCGTATCCTCGGTCAGGTCGTTGGCATCGAAACTGAAAAACCATAAAGGCCAGAAAAAAAAGAGAAAAAGGAAGAGGAAAAAGGCGAGCAAATTGGTCTAGTTGCCCGCGAGGGAGGCGGCGGTCCCAGCCCTCCCATGGCCGACCAGATGGCGGGGCAGGCAGCTCCCTCCTGGGCCTCCCCTTCCCCAGCGCGGGAGGGGGCGGAGCGGCCTCTGCAGGCGCGTAATGGAGCTCAGTCAAGGGGACCAGACACCGCTACCAGCACAGTGTCCAGACCTGGAAGGACCTACAAAGCGTAGGAAGCACGGAGACACAGTTAGTGAGCAGGAGCGGCACCCGGCGCCGCTGCCACCTGCCCCTCCCTCACAGCCACCCGACCGCCGCTCAGAGCCCTTCTGCGGCCCCACAGCCTAGAACCCTGGAGGGAAGGGGCTCAGCCTTGGCCCCCACAAACCACCCAGAGCCGGCAGGGACCTGGGGCCCAGGTCAGGGTGGAATCGAATATGACAACTGAATCTCTCCATCTCCACAAAAGCACGCGTGTCCATGCAGAGTGTTGCCTCTAAGTCACACGTGGCCCCCGTCATGGGCCTTCAGACTGCATCTCTGAGGGAGAGCCGGCTGGAAGGGCACCTCAGCAGGGCTTTGCACCCGTCGATGAGCTGCAGGTGAGGGACTCCAAAGGCACTAGACCTGCTTCCTCGGGGCG